TATTATTATTATTATTATTATTATTATTATTATTATTATTATTATTATTATTATTATTATTATTATTATTATTCCAGTAAGTATCACAGCATAGATTTATTATTATTCATGAGCATTGCTGATTCCAAAACTGATTTTTTTTGGAGGAGTTACAGTACTGCCACTTGAAAAGGATTGAGGTTTTGTTTTTCCACCATATACTTCTTTCCAAATTTATATTAAAAATTAACTTCTTCATCAGTTCAGCATAGTTTGTAAGGTGTCCCTCCTAACTTTTTATGTTGGGTATCACCTTCCAGATGAAGAGTTCTTGAAATATTGAAAATTCTAGTCTGTTTTATGAGCATGGCTCTTTGTTGAGAAAAGCTAACCGCTTTGAACTACATTAGGACATTGCAAACATCATCAGAAAATATTATTTCTAAAATGAGTCCTTAAATCCAAAACTAAGCGAATAATAATGTACATCAATCCATTCTAATGAAACTTACCTCTTTAGGAAGGCATGCTGGGATGGGTCTTCTTGAAAGTTTGGGCTATTGATGGAAACAAAGGTTCTCAGGTGTAAATTCCCACCAATAATGAGATCACCAGGGTTGTAATAGTCTAATTTTTCCTGCAAAGTGGTAGTCAATGCACATACAGTTTGCATCCTCTTAGCAGTAGTTGGAGCCAGGAGCCAGAAGAACAGTAATAGATGAGGCAGCTCAGTCATTCTTGTCACTCACCACAATATAAAAAAGATGTTGAGACTCTGGAAAAAGTACAGAGAACAGCAACAAAAATGATTAGGTATCTGTAGGCTAAAACATATGAAGAATGGTTACAGGAATTAGGTAAGTCTATTCTAATGAAAAGAAGGACTAAGGGAGACATGATACCACTATTCCAATATTTGAGGGGCTCCTACAAAGACGAGAAGGTCAAACTATTTTCCAAAGCACCAAAAGTCAAAATGAGAAACAATGGATGGAAACTAACCAAGAAGACAAGCAACCTAGAACTAAGGAGCAACTTCCTAACAGTAAGAGCAATTAACTAGTGGAACAGCTTGCCTTCAGAAGTTGTGGGTGCTCCATCACTGGAGGCTTTCAAAAAGAGACTGGACAGCCATTTGTTTGAAATGGTATAGAGTCTCCTGCTCAAACAGGGGGTTGGACTAGAAGACTTCAAAGTTCCCTTCCAACTCTGTTATTCTATGTTCTATGTCACCTTCCCTCCTAGATCAGAAATCAAGATTTGTGCAGAAGCTCAACTGCAGGTAGCACTTGAAATCCCACCAGAGATTTGGCGCTACAAAGAGAGGCTGTGCCACCTGGATGACTCCAGGCCAATTGATATCAATCATGATTCTTCTTACCTGTGTCTGGTCTGTGACCCAAGAGAAAATTAAAGACAACTGAGTCTCACCTAAACCAGGAGCTGTTCAAGACAAGGTAAGTCACATGTCCTGCCTTCACTGGGAGACATCAGAGCATATTTTTTTAAAGCAGGTTTTATGTTTGATGATTTGTGAGTGTAGGAACCCATAGGGGATTCATTAAGAATTACTGTTCTTCTGATAATTGCAATGAAAAGCTATTGCTCTATCCATCTAGTGGTAGATTTTGTCTGCAAACCAGAAGGGGAAAGACATGTTTGTGTCTTTTGTTGTTAACCCATAGAGCAGATGCCTTTGAGAGTCAAAGTGAAGTTGGGTATTTGATCTACATGAAACTGCCTACCTGCACATAAAAGGGAGTTTGTTGTATGCCATTGTTTTTTTTTTTCAGATAGTATTAATGGTGATAGGGTATAGTGGTAAGGACAATCAGGTATAACTTAGTAAGTGTGAGCAATAAGAATACAATATTACCTGGTTTATTTAACCCACATAGCTAGGTATGATGTTGTTGCATAGATCTGGAAGATAGGCAGGAAGATGTCTCAAGCTGTTAAACAATATAGGAGTTTATGGTC